CAGATAGCTGTAGTGCAGGCTTCAGTTTTTAGAAGTCTTACTTGTCCCTGCATCGCTGGTGTCTGAGAGAAAGCATTGCCAGCCTACCTTCTTGCAAAGCTTTTATAAGAACTAACTGGGATTACAGGCTAATTTATTTAGAAGGAAAGCCTCTCCAGTGGAGATGGCGAGCTACTGTGTACTGGGGGAGCAGGACTAATAATATTTTGAACAGACGTGGGACAAGATTTTGAGTTCAGTCTTGCTTTTAGTAGAGGAAAAGCAACCTTTATGAGGCAGTAGAATGAAGACCTTAAAATGACTGGTGGAAAATTCTCTTCAAATACACAGTTGATGCTGAAAAGGAAGTTCAAATGTTGCTTCTAAAACTTGATAGTATCAACTCTTTCCACCTTCTGTCCCAGTGCCTGACTTCAAACAGGGGGGATGTTTATGGAGGAAGTGAACTGAGGGAATTCTAGATAGATGTAAAGGATGTTGTTGTGGGTTTTCTTTTTGCTTGTCTGTTTTATTTAAATCATGAGTGTAGTCAAGCCCTACAACAGAGACCCAAAGAGTCTGTGGACTCTATCCGTGAAGTTAGTCAAATCTTGACTGGACAGAGCTTAAACAACCTTCTCTAACAGGACCTGCTTCAAGCAGGGCGTTGGACTGGAGACCTCCAGAGATCCTTTCCAGCCTAATGATGGTCTGTCTCTTGCCTTGCCAACAGATGTTAAACAGTGTTTCGTGCAAGACCCACCTCCCTCTTCAGTGGCTTTACTCTTGTCAGCATTTGAGTCTGTAGAAGCTTGCTGGAAAACTGAGTTTACCCATACAATATAAAAATAGGGACACCCCTTGTCCCTTAAATAAGGCTAAATATTAATGAAATAACTTGCCTAAAATTTGTGAATTGAGGTTGCAGAACTTTCACATAGGCTTGTGTGCTGGCTCTCCACTCAGGAAACTTTAAATTTTGTAGTACAAAAACATTTTTTGTTAACAGTCGTCTTCTTGCGGAGAAGGAAGCAGTTGCCCTGTCATGCTGCCTTCTTAAATGCTGCAGTTAAGTATGCTAAAGTCTTTAACCTTGCAGAGCAATGGAACAAAGTAATGTTGTTCTCCATTTGCAGGTTTTTGACCTGAAGGGCTCCCTCCGGAATAGAAATGTTAAAACAGACACAGGCAAGGAAAGCTGTGATGTAGTCCTGTTGGATGAGAACCTTCTGAAGATGGTCCGGGACAATCCTTTGTACATCCGTTCCCATTGCAAGGCTGTGCTGAGAGCTTCCATACACAGTGATTCCCAGTTCCTCTCTAGCCACCTCATCATCGACTATTCCCTGCTGGTGGGTCGTGATGATACCAACAATGAGCTGGTTGTTGGGATCATTGGTAGGTTGTCTTTTGTATTTTCTTGCTTTCAGCTGGTGAAACTGCTTTCTTCTGGTTTAGGTGTTTATAGTACTCTTAGAACTGTACCACCATGACAGAGATGTGTGTGAGGAAAGCTTGTCTTCTCCCTGATGGAATACCACCCTCACCTCTCATGGGTATTCAAAGTGGAGGCATGAAGTCTTCTCTCCAGCTCTTGTATGGGCTTGTGTTAGCATTTGCATTACTAAGAATATATGCAGGAGGAATCACAAGTAGTGAAAAAGCAGTCAAGTTGGTGTTTAACCTACACTTTGACTCCAGTTGAAGTAGGGAAGGTTATTTGTCGGCTTTTATGTGTTTAATCTTTAAAGTTAGGTTCAGTAATGTTTACATTGCTATTTAAATTGTAACTTGTGTGGAGGGGATCTAAGGAGAAACAATGTTGGTAGGGATGGTAGGGAAGTTAAACATTACAGGATCACTTGTGATCATGTAATCTGACCTGGATAATATGGGTTGCAACACAGTAATTACCTTGCCACATCCTCCGACTTGTGACTGGAAAGTAGAGCCTCATCTTTAGACAGACAAGCTTGTATTGTGCAAAAGACTTGGAGATGAAGCCATTTTGCAGGCTGTCGAAGTGACTCCTGGAAATGAGATGCTCTTGGAACCTAACTCAGAAATTCCAGATGAATCCAGAACCTAACTCCAGCTTCCAGATGAGATCTCAAGCTGGGAGGTCTGGATTACTCTTTTTCTGATAAAGCTTGAGAGCCATTCCAGTAACACTTCTAGTTGAGAATTGAAGTCCCAGCTACAAAGAACTGCAAATTGTTACTACTTTCTAGTTTTCTAGACTCTTGAATATTTGGGTAAATGGGATGAGACCCTGCTTCTTCTGTATGTGTGGCTTTTTGCTGTCCTACGGAAAGTCTTACCTGATTGAAGAGTATATTTTATATGATGTTTAAAGGTAACAGTTCCTTCACTGTGGTGAGAATAGCTGTTTGTGATCTGAAGGGGCTTGTATAACACAAATATCTTCAAGAATAGAGAACGTGCCTGCTGTATCAGGCTATCACAGCATTGTCTAAATGATACCCTGAGAATTTACAAAATACTCAAGCTAAATTTGCAGGGGGGGCGGAACTAAAAACCACTAGCTTGGACTGAGTTTGAATCTGAGGTCAGAATCTCTACCTATTTTAGATCCTAATGTGATACAGGAAGCAAGTAATTTAGGTTTGTGAGGAGCTGTGAAGACTTTATATTGTAGGCCCTATTGCGTGGGGCTCTGAGCCTTGGGGCATGAAGTGATAGTAGTTAGTGCACAAACTGATGATATCGGTCCCAAAGGACTCTAAGGGAGCATTTTCAAAGAGTTTTCAGATAAATGGAAAAGTCTTAAGATTGGCAGGTCTGCATAAGTTTTGTGTAAAGTACAGCTGAGGTGAAACGTGGATACTTACGGTGGCCTTTTGTAAATCTAGAAACAGTACATTCAAAATTGTATAATTACAGTTGCAGTTAAATGTTAGGAAATAATGATATCCACTTAACTTACTGCAGCTTCAGCTTTGCAGACCAAAATGTTCATGTGCTTGTAATGACTGAGCAAGCTTTCCCTGAAAGGGGCTTGGAAACAATTCTGAAGTCTTTTCTCTGCAGCCCTCTCTTCCAGTCAGGGTCACTGGTGGTGTTTCCAGTCTGCCATATCATGAAGTGAAAAGTGTTTGCTTTCTGTAATCAAACCTGTAGGTGGCTGCAACGATGAGGAATACTACTGACTTAAACAGATAGGTGTCCAAGTCTTGATGCTGCTAGCTGTTGCAGTAAAGTAGTGGGAGCTGTTACAGCAAAGTGGGGCTTCTTGATACATTTCTGGGATGAGGATCAGCTAAGTGACTCTTGTAAATGAGCCCTTGAAACTCTAACATGGCTAGAGACAGACGTGCCTGGGCAGCCTCTTTTTGTAGAGGCAGGAAGAGTTGATTGTGGTCTTGCTGGGCTTTTGAGGTATCATATTCACCCTATCCAAATATAATCAATACACCAGAAAGTGAGGCAACTGGTAGGGGGATCACTTAAGTTCTTCTGGCTATGGAAGCATACTGCTTTCTCACCCTTTTTGAGGGGGAATAGATACATTTTAGGACAGTGCTACGAGGGCTGTAGCAGATATGACATGTTTGTGTGTGGATTTTTTTTTCCATTGCAACAGACTATATTCGCACTTTTACCTGGGACAAAAAGCTTGAAATGGTGGTAAAGTCAACTGGGATCTTGGGAGGACAAGGTAAGTCCAAAATGCAAGCAAAGCTTTTGATTGTGTTTACTTGTTACTCGGGAGCTTCCATTAACTGTACTAATAAAAGCACAACTTCCCCACCGTGCAGATTTGCAACACTAAATTAAGTTGTCCAGAACAGGGAAAGGAATAATAAGTTTCAGAAAAATTAATACATTGATCTGCTTCACAAGCAACCCTTTAAGTGCTGTAATTCCTGGGAATGGGATAAAGCTCATCTATTTATCAGACTGTTCTTTTCTGTTTCTTAGTTATCAGCTACTCACATACAAACTTAGTCATCTATACAGAGATACTAGAAAAAACCCTGCTGCCTGGTTTCAGAAGATGTTTTCTGGTCCAAAAAATCAGATATACTCTGAGCCATTAGTGTGAAGGAATCCTTATCAAATGATTGACTATTGCCCATATTTTGAGGAGCTGACAAGTTCCCTTTGTAGAAGTGAGTAGAGCACCTTTTGTGCAGCATTGCCTAGTGTTGGGCCCATGTTAGTAGGAGGGCTGGAAAAAGAAGGGAAGTGGAACACTTGATGTACCACTGCTCAAGTGTCTGGAGAAGATAAGAGCATGTTCATAGAGTGAAACTCTTCATGGGAGAAATTTGCATCTCTGCTGGAAAATCTCAAAGACCTGTAAACAGGAGAAGAGGAGAAGAAACAAACTGATCAGGGCTGATGTAAAAAGCGTAGATGGTTCCTCCAAATTCAGGTATATCAACTCAGTGTTAGGGGTCCAGACCTTGATCTGCCTTCTCTTCTAAATGTTTAAAATAAAAAATAAATTAAAAAAGAGGCAGCTGATAATGCTTGTTACTTCCAAGACCCTCTCATGTACAGTACACCTTCATGATTATGCTGTCTGGTGTTCTAAGTGTGACATCTGTCTGTACTGCAGTATGCTCTTTAGCCCATTTCTAACTCCTCTTGACTCTTACACATTAGGTAAGATGCCAACTGTGGTTTCTCCAGAACTGTACCGGACCAGGTTTTGTGAAGCTATGGACAAATATTTCCTGATGGTGCCAGACCATTGGACAGGACTGGGCCTGAATTGCTAAGCTAAAGCCCATATTGGGAAAGCACAAGAGGACAATGATGTTATAGGCCACTCCCTTCCTGCGGTCTGTCCAGCAAGTAAGCAAGAGGATTGCAATTCCGTGTCTACACTGACCATGTGCATCATGTTGTGAAGTGTGAAATCTTCTTGTTGCACTTTAATCCTCTCTTGGAGGCTGATAAGCAAACCAGCCTCACTAAGGATCTAAGCTGTAAGGTACCACTGAAGAGCATTGATAAGAGACATTTCTTCTGTCAGTAGGAAAAAAAACCAGTTCATGATGGTGTAGAAGTATGTGATCTCCGTAAGTCTTGCACTGCCTAAGTAGTGTTGACTATGAGCAGCTGATGTTTCTGTAGTGGATGTGTGGTACTGCAAATGTGAAGTAAACCCCCCTCTGTGTGTGCAGGTGGGTTAGACAAGAATGAAGTTAATTTCTGAGTTCTGCTGTTGTTGCAGTGATCTGTAGTTGATCTGTTTAGGATCCATGAATAACTTGTCCTGCTTATGCTCTCTAGCTTCAATTTTTCCTGGGTTCTGTAAACAGTATTTTTTTTTTTAAAGGCAGCTCCACAGCTATAATGCCATATCACTACATCTTTTAAGTCATATTGTTGCAGTACAACTCTGTCTTATCTGTCATAATTACATTTTAGCTGAATCCCATAAAAATGGGTTTTCAGTCACCAGCATACTGCAAAACTGAAAACATATCCCTTCAATCCTAAACGGTACTTTGATCTGAATGTTGCCCAAATCCCTGGAAACAGGTAACTGAAAAATGTAGCCTTTAATTTAACAAGACTTGTTTAATTATAGTTATGGAGCTGATTAACCTTGTCCTTAGCAAAAGGCACTAAGTTGCTAGACAGAATGAAGCTTACTGCTTTAGAGTGACAACTTTCTCCTTAATGAAACCATCATTTCTGGCAGATCACTTCAAATCCATTTCAGTTCCCCAGGACTTTCAAACAATGCATTTACCTCATGGTGAAACTTTGCTAAGAGAATGTTTGTTTTTCTTTCATTCATGACATGCTGATGAGAATGAGCATCCAGATCGCATCATAATGTGCAGTCCCAATGGAAAAAACATCTTTTCAGCAGTATTAGATTTTTTTTTTGCACCACTGAGATGAATGTAGTCATCCTTTTCTGTAAAAATAAAAACCTGAACTAACAGGTATCTTGTATGATGGTTAAGATGTGCAGAGATCTGTGAATCTCTATGTTATGACAATAAGCACTTCTTTCCACTTTTATTATTTTTTTATCTAGTTTTGTGGGTGATGAGTTTACTTTTTAGCTTCATTATAATATAGGCCAGTAAATAAGAGGAGTTTTTATGAGTTTGAGAGGCAAGAATACTGCCCTTTGACTTCCAGTCTCTGATGGAAGGACTTCAAACAAACATGGAGTCTGGGACAGTATAGCTCTTTATGACCAGTTGCTCGTGCTGACCAGTTGCCTGGTAATGCCATCTTCATGTTAACTATGGATTGAAATGTGCATTTTGTTCACTCCTCCCGTGTTCAGTATTTTCTTCTGCAGCGGATGGTGGTGGCTTTGTTCAGGAATGACAGTTGGGCAGCGCTGAGAAAGGAAAATGCCAGCAGTGAGAACTGAACTGTTGGTTCTAAAAGCAACCAGTGCAGCTTGGGTCTGAGCTGCCAGGAGGCAACAGTCATCTGTGTTGGAAGAATTCTTCCCCACCCCATTGCAAAGCCCTGCTGGAGGATGAGCAAAGATGCTGACCTTGAAGCAGCAGAAATGAAAGTATTCTCACTTCCACTGTACAATATAATCATTGTTTCTGGGGGTGCAGTGTTGAAGGCTGCAGTGATGTGTCCAGTGGAAAGATGACAGTACTTCTTGCTTCCTCTGGCCCAGAATCCCTTTGGTCCAACATAGTGCATCAGGTACAGTTGACCATTTCTGGGACACATCTTGCCTCCTGTGTTGAAATCTACTCCCAGGATGGCTAGCTCTGTGTGGGGCCTTGTGTAATGAGGAACCAACTAGTCCCTCAGTTCAATGCTGCTACTCACTGCTGTGGCTTCTACCTTCTGTCTTGGTCCATCGATGTGAAAGAGTATGCCATGCAGCCTGAATCTGTTCCAGTCTCAGTTAGAGTTTACATGTGTTCTTCCTCCTTCCTCTCCTAAAGTTTACAGGGAAAAAACTTGAGTTGCCTGACCAGCTAAGGTGACCCAACAGCAGCTGGTTATGTTATCTTTCACCTTTGTCAGTATGTGGATTGGTTGATGTGGGTGGTGTCGTGGCATCTGCAGTAGGCTAATGTAGAACTGTGATATGTTAGCCCTATCCTGTCACCAGTAACCCTTACTCCAGTGATGTGTGGCTGCTCTGTACTGCTTGTCTTCCAGAGTCCGAAGCAGCTGGTTCTAAAGCAACAGAATCATCTGACTGTAGCTAATGTTCCCCTGTATATGACAGAATGAGGCCTTCAGCTAAAAGTGAGAGAACCTTCCACTAGCCAGCTGTTTTACAGCCTGTGAACACAGAGCACAGACATGTGAATTGTGACCATCCTGGCCTGAAGTTATAGCAGTTGGAGAGATTCACAGGAGTCCTCTTGATCTGGCATTAACAGCTAACTTTGGGTCAGGATGTGACTGATAACACTAGTCCTGACCAGACTGGAGTAAATAGCAAGCTATTAGTCATGGGTAACACGGTAGCTGCAGTATTGACTGGAATTAGAACATCTCTGGGTGCCATGTGACATAAAGCTGTAAGCATTTCTAATTCAAATCCCAGCAGTTGGAACAGATCTCCTCAAATGTTCCATTTTCATAATTACTGTTGTCCTGGCATTTCACGTTCTACAAAGCTGACTTTCTCAAAATGAGAGCAAAACTTCATGCAGAAGAAGTCTCTGAGAGAGTTCCTTGTGGGGCTGTGTTAGGTCTGTGTCCCTGCAGCATGCCTAAGGATGCCCTAGGGGAACAGCCTAGATATTACATGAGCCCTTTGATTAGAGTTTATTTCTTTATAACACAGGTTTAGCATGTATGTGTGTAAGCAAATCCCAACTGCAAACATGAAGACTGCATTTCTTCAGAGCTACACTGGCTCTTTTTCTTCCGTTGTTTTGATCTGAGGCCTTGTGACAAATGTCTAAATTTTGCCCCAGTCAGAAGTGATGACCTTGCTTTAAGTCATCATGTAGACAACAGAATGCCTTGTAGTGGCTTAGCGATGCATTCTGTCCCCCAAAAGCACATGAGGGACTCTTGCTGGTTAAGTTCCTCTGCTGGGCTCAGGGGACTTACCTGTGGAGCGGACTCTCCCCTGTGAGAATGACCAAGACCAAATGAATCGCTCACTAGCAGGTGGCCAGACTAATCATTCTTCAAAGCACTTAATGTACCATAATGTATGTATTTCTAATGTACCTTGGTTCAGCTGTATTTTATAAAGTTGATGTACTAAACTATTTGAGAATAACTGCCTTGACTACTTGGAAAATCAAAATGTAATGTATATAGATACAAATAAAGTGACTAAAATATACTTGAGTCCATTCCATGAGGTGGAGCAGTTAGGTCTCATAGCATCCCATTTTCTTGATCAGAGGCGAAGCTGGGCAGCAATTGCTCTGTTGGAGGCTGCCAGCCTTGCGTGTAGTGTAAGCATGCCTGTCATGTCTTTGTACCTTGCAGCTCGTCTCTTCTAATGGAACAGGACCTCTGGGCAGCTCTCCAGGTCAGTGGCAGTAGAATGTGCAAATAACCTTTCATGCACTTCTTGCACCTTCTTCCCAAGCTGCTTTTCAACACATAGTGCTGTATGAGACAGAGATGCAGTTTTGTTCAGCAGATGATGGTGTTGCTGTGGCCTAATTCTTCCAAGAGGTATAACACATTCCTCAGGAAAAATCTCCAGGTATTTCCATAGTCTTCTCTTAAGTGGACTAGATAAAGAAAAAAATCCAAGGAGGTCTGAAAATTAATGGCTTATCTTGATTGCTTCATATTAACCTATAATATAGTAATCTCTTAAGACTAAAAATGGGAAGGGGACTTGTTCGTTCCTAGAATGTAAAACTCAAAATGTAGAACTTCAGGATTTTACCTGTATTGTGCATCATCACCGCTTTTGCCAGGTGAGTCTGAGTTCTTTTATCTGCTGCAGTATGAAACTGCATCAGAATCTGTCCCACCATGGGGGTGTGAGCAAGGCAAAAGGTGGGAGGCTCGGTTCCAGGCCTTACACTGCTGTAAGGTTGAGTGGAGGGACTTGAGGGGCTTCTGGCACAAAGCTGAAAAGCACAAATGCAGGGTTATCAGAACAGCATTCTTCTAATACTTACAAGTGGGACTGCCAACACCTAGTAAAGCACAAGTGTTTGTGCTCTAAGTGAAACTTCTTTTGGTCAGTACCAAAATCACCAGTATTAGAAAATGAAACGGTAATTGCATGTCTTTTCCACTGATGTAACTGATGGTATAAGAGACGTTGGTCAACTTCCCCACTACCACCTTGATTTAGTCAATACTACTTTCTGAAGAGAAAAGAGAAAAAAAAAAAAGGAAAAGTTGGGATTCACCATCTCAGTCTATGCTGCAATGTCTCAAATTGAGTCCTGTGGCGTCCTAGTATAAACATACAGAAGCAACAAGGAGCACTTCAGATTTAGTGTGGAGGTTTTAAGTCAGTGCAGGTACAGAGTAACTTTGCACATTAACTGGGAGAAGCCAGGCCATCCCTCATGTCTCTGTTTCCAGGGCAGAGAACTGGAAGTCTGGCACACTAGAGATTTGAGATCTAGCTGTGCTAGCCACTGATACTGGCCTAGAATTGCCACTAAGGTACTAAAATAATAACAAAACAGGAATCTATGGTCTCCAAGCTCCTGCTGTGCAGCCATAGTTTGTTGTGAGATCTCTGTAAGGAACAAAAAGAACCAAAAAAAAAACCCCACTTCATTTTTTGGTGATAGGAGGTTTGTCTGTATCTTTAAATCTGTGCCTGGAGGCAGATCCTGCTTCTCAAAAGAGGAAGGATGACAGAAACAGGTAAGAAGAGCGGGCTGGGAGTTTGTTTGTTAATCTGGCAGAGCAGCAGGGTCAGAATGAGTCCCAACATGTGCATCCTGTTACAATGCCTTGTTCTCCAGCCCCTTCCTGCCTCTTGGGGCATGAAAGTCAAGTCAAGAAATGTGTGAGGGCAGAAAGCAATGCTTAGTTTGGATGATGAAAACCAATGCTGAAATATCCTGGTTATGAATTACTATCATCCTACATACTGAGTCTAAGCTTTGCAGAGCTCCAAGCAAGCTAGTTTCTTACACACTATAAAGCCAGTGTTGAGTGTTTCATTCACACAGCTTCTGCCAGTTACAGAGGCTGTGGCTCAGTTTAATTCCCGCAATAGCTTGCAATAATACATGAAAGCAGAGTTGTTAGCAGCCAGGCAACTCCTTATTCCCTCTGCATTTGTTCCCTAGGTGAGATCTTTTCCCACTGGTCTGTCATTTGTGGGTCTGCTTTCATTGTACCTCCTATTCTGTGATTATAGGTGGCTTCTCTGTTGGGGGCCTTGCTTGTAGATCTCTGCAGGTAAACTTGTGGTGTCAGAATTAGCTGACATAAGATCTCTGGTCCTAATCTGAAGGCTCTTTATAAGCTCAGTCTGAAGGCTACCTAAGTAGTCCTTAGTCCTTCCAGCCTTAGCAAGCTGTCTGCTGACTCATTGCAGTTGTTTACAACTATATTGAGTAAACAAGTTCTGGAAAGAGGAGAAATGTGCTAGGTATGCAGGAGCTGTGGTGGGAGAAGTCCTGAGTAGAAAGAGTAGAGCTTTGGTAGTGAAAGGTCCATTGCAGTCAGTACTCTCAGGATGACAGAACTGGCTGTATGTGTAAATATGCAAGATGAGTTGTAAAATCTCATTGCCGTTCTGAAGGAGAGATGTCTAGGCTTAGTAATTATAGCCTCACCTTTGAAATGCTAAAGATGACTTGAGTGGGGAAAACAGCAAGCATGTAAAAAATCAAGTGTGTCAGTAGAAGAATGTGAGGGAAGGGTATAAAAGCTGACTTATGCCAATTGTCATATTGGAAGGTTATTCTTACAGAAGAATGTGTTTTGGCTGCCAGAAACAGAAGAATCCTGCCTTCAGCTCTGAGGATTTTGTGGTGCTTCATCTATGAAGGTGACAAAGAGAAGATGGGAGAAAGAGGCACAAAACAACACTGTTGAAGTTAAAAAGAAAAACAAGAACCCCCTAAAACAGGTAAGGGTGTGCCTGTAGCTGAGGAAGTAAATTACTGAGAAATATGCCCTACCATTCCCTAGAAGTGTTTAGCCTTTAGTTACCTGCACATCATCCTCAAATTGCAGTTTTGAGTGAAGTTTCCCGTCTTCAAAATGGAATTTCATATATTACAAGGTCCTGTATGTTGTTATTTGTGTCTGGTGTATGTCAAAATAATCTAAAAGCTTACTGCAGTTAGGAAGCTCTTTTTGCTGAAAAGGTAGGTGTGAGGAAAATAACACTGATTACTGTATACTTACAGCAGCAGATTACAGATTGTTTTGTTTTGCTTGTAAAATGTAAGCTGTTTGAGGGGCGTGTGCAGGACCAGCTCCTGAATCGTCACTGCCACCTGCCGGCACTCCAGTTCAAATTTTCAATTCATCCTCTAGTGGGAAGGCTGGCTATGTATTTGCTTAAATTACTGCACAGGATATAAAAATCATAAGAGAAAATACGATCTTAGTGGCAGTTCTATATTGTTTTCCAAGTGTCTAAATGTGCTGTGAATCTACCTCTGAAGAAGTGGATGACTGAAGTCCCATAATAGCTGAATGTGTACTTCAGTGAGGACAGATACCTTTTCTGTTAATATCTATGGTCAGTGGAAACACGACAGCTGTATCCCGCTCCTTGTCAAAGAAACACTGTACTAAGGATCATGGGCCTGTGGAATTTGCTTCCCAGTTTCCATCCAAAATAGCAAGAACAGAGTGGTGATCTCTTATGTCTGCACAAACAGCCTTTTGTGATTTGAACACAGTACTTTCTGTTTTGTTTTATACAGTGAAAATAAATTTTTAATTCCATGTTATCTGCTAGTTAGATACCTTTCTATAGTAATGTGGTTTTTATGGATGTCTTCTATAGTAAATAGTGGTTGAATATATAGTATAGTATCTGAGGTTGAATATAGTATAGTTTCTGAATAGTGATTACCCTCCTCATAGGAATGTCAGAATTCATGGTACTATAACTTCTATTTACTTGTTTAGTTTTGGGGGGAACCCCCTGCTTTCTTCTAATCTCTCTCATCAGTATTTGGCTAGAGCTGTCTTGTGTGCTTGAGGTTGTCTGTCAAAACAGCAGGCAGCTCTGTGTTCCTGTCTCAGAGGACTCTTCCTTTCAATGGCAATGGCAACTCTGCCTGTTCTTGAATAGCACACAAAGCCTGAAAAAACAAATTAATGATAAATATTTTCATATCCAGTTTCTGTAGGCACCCTTATTTATATGCACAGAATATACAGCAAATGAAAGCATATGTTAAGGACTGAATCAAAGGCATTTTAATGGCTGAAAATTTCAGTAAAGGTACCTCCAGAAAAAAATTAGGCAGTTTAACTTTTTACTGCTCTTGACTCAGCCCTGCTTCTCTGTTGAACTGTAACCACTGAGTGGGTAATTGGTGCAGCTGAGGATCCAGCACATCCTCATTTCTAGAGCCCCTGCCAACCTTTGCAGAAACAGAAGGCTGGCATCACTGATCTGGTACATGGCTCCAATACGGAGCCTGGAGAGGGAATACTTACACAGTACTGTTCAAACCTGAGAGTGTGCAGTGAACCAATGTAGTAATGCCAACCTGTGTTAAAGATGGGAAGACAATTAATGATCAAAATACCAATGTCTACGCTGAATTCCTTGACAGGCGTTAAAATGGCTAATACTGACTTACACCAGTATCATTTGTTAGTGTACTTTTAGTGGCTTCTGAAGCTTTTCAGGTTAGGACAAACCCAGCAGTTAAAACTTGGTTGTCTTCTAAACCCAGTATGCTTAGGGAAGTAGGGCACCACCTGCTTGTCCTCAGTGATTGATCTGGAGTTAATTCGAACTTTAAGGGCATGTATGCTATAATTTATGATGAAATTTAAGATGAGCCTGGCTACAGTTCGCTGTCATGTGATGTTCCATGTTTTTGTCTTGCTGTCCTATTACACAAGGAAATTGTGCACTGAGATGCTATGTTGTTAAAAAAAAAAAAGTGTTTACATGTTTATGAACACAGTATCTTTTTTCTTCTGCACACGCAGGGAAAAAAATTTTTTCCCATGCACCTCTGATAGCCCATACTTTCATTCACAAGAACAGAGCTCTTCTGCTTTTCTGCAAGTACAAAAGCAATGAAAAAATATTTCTAAGGAAGGCCAATAAATGTTTTCTTTAAGAAAAACTTGTTCTGCAAGCTCAGTGAAATTGCTGCCATTGTTCTTGTTTTACCAGAAAAAAATTTGGACCCCTGATTTCAGAGTCAGATCTGTATCTCTCACTTGTCCAAAATTTTAAAGGCATTTTGTTAAATACCTGTATGTATTTATTTAATCTTTAGCCTGTTAGATCCCTGTGCTCTAATAATTATTCTGCAACAGGATAACATTCTGAAGTAAAAGTTGTGCAGAATACCTACGGTTAAAACTCGTTCCTCGTGTTTAAGATTGCAAGTAATGCTCCTGCTCTGCTCTTTTCTGCTATATTTAGTGCGATGCCCCTTTATTCTCAGCTAAGCAAATATAGGTACGAAGTCCTGTAGGAATCCAGTCTTTTCTGTACAGTGCACATGCATACTTATGTACTGTAGCTTAGCCCTTAGCCCTCAAACACCTTGAGAACAGAAAGGTGAAAAGGTGACAAAATGCCTACCTGTCTCAGCTGAACCGAGTGCAGCTCTGCCTGTAACACCGCATCCTACAGAGAGTTACCGTATCTTGGGTGATGCCTTAAGCACAAAGACCTATGTTATTACAGCTGTAATTCCCCCCCACGGGCCTTACTCTAATGGCAGTGACTGCAGAACAGGGGTACCCTACAGCTGTGCGAGAGCGCGCTCATGCTAAAAAGGAACAAAACAGAAGAGGAGGTACTGCCAGAACATCAGCCGGTACTTCTCAGCTCCAGTGGCTACCCGGGCATACAGGTACTTCTTGCATGCTGTTCCAGCCTCAAGCCTGAACAGAAAAACTGCACGCTATAAACACAGTTCACTCAGTCTAGTATATAATTGGAATAACAAAGTAATTTGAGACATAATGATCCAGTGATCAAAGGTAGGATAATAAAGTAAGTGAACATAATTACTGAAAAGAGAGCATTGATTTACAGTTGCAGAGACAGGATGGGAATATAGTAACTTTGCCCCATTGTTTATATACGATATTTTTCTAATATAGCCTCAGCAAAAATAAAACAAATGGTTTCCTGGATATGGGCTTCTGTTACTGAACTAGCTGAGACTAACTAACTAACTAAACTAGCTACCTGATGGAAAAAGTTATATATCTAGGACAGCACAACTGGGATTGCTTAATGTACACATATGCACGTAACAAGAGAAAGAAAATTTTTTCTTTTTCTACCAGGATTGTAAAGACTATCTGAAACACATACTACAGGGAGAAAAAGATTTTCTGGAAATTCCAGGTCAGCTGTATTACTTTCTAATGGTTGAAAGGATCTATAAACAATTCTGGTTAAACTGTGTTCTTGTCAACGTGTCTGGTACTTGACAAGGATGGAAAACAAAATAATAAGGTCATTCTTTATGTGGTTCCACAGTAACCTATAAAATGCAGAAATGATATCTACTTCTTCATGTAAGTGTGATCTGCCTTATGGAAAAACAATATTCTGCTTTCTGTCCTGTATACCCGAGGAAGCAGGGAACGTCTTTAAGGCAGTATTTCCCATTCCAGCTCAGTTGTATAGTAAGAATTCACCAGAACTAACTTGTTTTTACTGTGTATCATAGTCTAAAAAAAACCCCAACCTCTACTTAATTCAGCTCTTGAATGTTTTTTTGAAACACTGGTATTTAAGTAAGGTAGATGTTTTCTTACAAGATGTGTTTGCTGGCTTGTGAAGAATACGTGCCAAATGTTAACACACATGATGCTTGTAGCCTTAGTCAAGAAATAGTCTGCAGAATACACTGATTATATACATTCATTCAGGAAACACTCTTCTTTATGCCTAACTGTAACTAACTGTAATTAATTTCTGTTGGCAGCTAGTAACATGTAGAGAAGTCTATTAGAGCTTAGAAAATTAGCAATACAAGGAGGGTAAGTACTTAATATCATGTTGATGATTTAGCTTTAGCTGTTTATTATCCAAAGTGTGGTGGCTTACATATAGATGGAAGAACAAATTACTAATGACTTCTCGTATACAGGGAAGATCAAGGTTGAAAGTATTTGGACTTGGAACATTGCCGTTTTCAGATGCAAAGTTTCAGAAAATTAAATAAGTTCTCTTTATGCACTCC